AATAGAGATTTTTTTTTTTTAAATCAGGAATAACGTTTATTAATGTTTAAGTCATACAAATATCAAAATAAAGGATCACATAAAGAATGGTACCAAAGAATGATTCATTAACAAAAAGAACAATGTAAGAAAGGAAACTTTTCAGTGTTACCAGTATGCATTAAATCCAGGAGTTTCTGCAAATTTACAGTGTTATTATGTGGTCAGATCAAATAATAATTTGCACACATTCAGAACATTCAGAGTATCCCCACTACAATGGACCCACGGGGAACAGAGAGCACCCTTCCCCCCACCAATCAATTCAGAAGGGTCATAGGATGGCATTATAAAGTAACAATCAGATTATATTTGAAAACAATTACAGCAGCCTATGCATTATCAGATCAAAAGGGGCTAAACTTGGAGTGGCCAACCATGCGTCCCAAAGTTTCTCAAATTTACCCAATCATCCACGATGTTGGTAAATTAAACGATCATATCGTAGAATGATTCCCATATTTTGCTTCCAGTCATCTACAGTGGGAGGAGTATCTGCGTTCCAGCTCACAAGAATCGCCTTGCGCATCTGGAACAAGGCCTTGGAAAGGGCTTCTGATATAAATGTATCCTGCGTTACAGACTCTAAGATACCCAAGAGGCATTGCTTAGGATCTAGAATTAGACTAGTTTGAAACACCAAATTAAGAGTAGTAACCACCTCCTCCCAATACCTATGAAGTTTTGGGCATCGCCATAGCATATGAATCAGGTCGCCTTGGTCCCGCTTACATCTGCCACATAGGGGGTCCTGGCGTAGCCCCATCGTACACAATTTTCCTGGAGTGTAATGAGCTCTAAGTACAATATAAAATTGAGAAATGCGATGGTAGACTGTCAACGAACTAAGATGGATTGACTGCAATGCAGCTTCCCACTGGTCATCCTCAAAAGTCTCAACATCTCACTCCCATTGCCCACTAGCCCTTTTTGGGTATTTTTCAAGATAGTCTGTCAGAAGCATGTTATAGCAGTGAGAGATGAGCCCCCTGGTCATTTTAGCAGAGTGCAAGTAATTAAAAATAGGGGTAGGAGAGGAGTGCCATAAGGTTGATGAGCTTTGAGCAGTGATTGTATGTTTTAAACTGCATGTAGTAAAATAACATTGTAGATGGTAAATTATAATTGGACTTCAATATATCAAAGGAGATAAGTTGACCATTGTTAAATATATGCTTTAAGTGAGTTATCCCATAAACTCTCCATTTAGAGACATATTGTAGTTTGGCTAGTTCAGGTAATGTCACTTAATTTCATATGGGACTATAGGCAGTATGGCCTGTAATCTGCTGCAACTGCTTAACCTTAATCCAAATGTTATGCATTAGGCGATATGTAGGAAAGGATTTATTTGGTTTACAAGAAGATTGAGCCTCGAAACCCTCCGGTAAGGAGCTAGAGGCTGTACAATGCAGCATCACATTTAGCGTAGAGTCATCAACTGGAGCACAGTCAGCTCCTCTTTCTGCAATACCTTTTATATAGATGCTGCAGTTGGCTGGCTAAGTAGTACAACCAGGGGTTGGGCAAAGCTATCCCCCCTCTATCCTTGGGACATTGCAAGTGTTCCATTTATATCTGAGGGGGACAGCCCCCCAAAGCAATGAGCGAAAAATGGTATTTATGATTTGAAAAGGTTGAGAATCATGACTGCCGAGTTATGAAGAAAGTACAATTGGTGCATAAATATAATTTTCATAAGATTCGCTCTACCTGCCAAAGATAACCAGAATTTAGACCATATCTTAAAGTTATCTTTAAATTGGATCAACAATGGAGCCACATTCAATCGACAATCTAGTAAATCGGCTCTAATGAGAATACCCAGGTACTTAAAGGAAGTTGTTATCATAACCGGACAAAAAGTAGGCACCGCTGGATCGGTAACCCCATGCAGTTAATTATTAGCCCTGAATAATGTCCAAACTGTGAGATTACATGCATGATTGTATGCAAAGATGATCCTGTATCACCAAGCAAAAGCAATACATCATCTGCATATAGCAATATTTTCTCTTGGTGATTACCATATCAGAAACACTCAACATCCGCACTAGCCCTAATTCGTGCCGCCAAAGGCTCCATGGCCAGTGCAAACAAAGGCAGGGAAAAGGGGCATCCTTGACGGGTGCCCCTGGCTAGTTGAAAAGTTAAGGAAGTTGCTCTGTCTTATCTGATAACGGCACAGGGAGAGTGATATAGATGCTTTACCCAGTTTATAAACTGGTCTCCAAAGCTGTATTTCTCTAGAATCTTCCATAAATATTCTCATTCTATGCTATAAATCGCCTTAGTAGCATCTAGCGACAAAAGTGCTCTGGAGCCCATGTTGTGAGCTGGTGTTTGCATATTGATAAACAATCTGCATAAATTGACCACGGTGGATGTCTGTGGCATGAAACCGGCCTGATCAGGGCTTACTATAGTGGTGATAATTTTATTTAATCTAAATGCTAATACTTTCACCAGGATCTTTACATCAGACTGTAATAGGGATATAGGTCTATAGAAATTAGGGTCGGTAGCCACCTTGTCTGGTTTAAGTAGCAATACCACTGTGGCTTTGGTCATAGAGGCAGGTAAAGGGCATCTGTCATAGGCCGTCTGAAACACTGTTAAGAGTCATGGTAGCATGGATTCAGCATATATTTTATAAACCTCCATCAGATACCGTCCTCCCCCGGAGCTTTGTTATTAGGGAACAGACTGGTTGCCTTAACCAGCTCATCTCTTGTAATAGGTTAGTCTAAATATGATTTATGAGTAGGAGTGAGTTTAGGTAAAGGAGTATCTTGAACATATTCATCTAGGGCAGTGGTTCTTAACCTGGGTTCGATCGAACCCCAGGGGTTCGGTGAGTCAGTCTCGGGGGTTCGGCGGAGGTGACCCACACCCGACTCATATGATTTGTGATGACATGCCCCGCTTGTCCATCATTGGCTGCAGGTGGTCACGCAACATCGCTTAGCCCAGTGGTCGGCAAGCCGCGGCTCTTGTGTGCCGGGCGCCCGCTCCCCTCCCTCCTCTCGGGCGGCAGGGACTCAAATGCAATGATTGGCCAGTCTCGCTGCCACTCGCATCCTGATAGCCAGTGATTGGCTGTCAGGATGTGTGTAGGCGGGGCAGCGTGACGAACGTGAGAGGAGCTAGGCTCCTCTCACAGTCCGCCCTGAAGACCGGAACGGCGCGGGAATACAGCGAGAGGAACGCGCGGAGCAAAGGTAAGTGAATTGACACAGGGGGGACTTGGGGACTTAATATGGGGGATGAATTAATATGGGGAATGAATTACTATATGGGGGATGAATTACTATATGGGGGATGAATTATTATATGGGGGATGAATTACTATATGGGGGATGTATTACTATATGGGGGATGAATTACTATATGGGGGATGAATTACTATATGGGGGATGTATTACTATGGGGGATGAATTACTATATGGGGGATGAATTATTATATGGGGGATGAATTACTATATGGGGGATGTATTACTATATGGGGGATGAATTACTATATGGGGGATGAATTACTATATGGGGGATGAATTACTATGGGGGATGAATTTTCATACCGTTTGTTACAACATATCTTTGCGAGCAATCCTTTTCGAGGATGCTGGACATAAAGACGAAGAAAAGGAACAGACTTTGTTGCGAAAATGACATGAGAGTGGCACTTGCCAAGGTAATGCCGCGCATTTCTGAACTGGCCTCTGAAAGACAACAGCAGAAGTCACACTGATTTGCGGTAAATATTCATTATTTTGTTTTTGTGTGAAAATCATGTTTTAATGGTTTTGTTCTTTGTTCTTAATGGTTTTGTTCATTTTGTGCACCTATGTATAAATATATACCTATGTTTTGAATTTTAAAAATCATATTTTATTTTTCCAATTAAGAAGGGTTCGGGGATAAGCATATGAAACTGGTGGGGGTTCAGTACCTCCAAAAAGGTTAAGAACCACTGATCTAGGGCCTCTGGTGTAAATGAGGATTTAGAAGAGTAGAGATCAGTTTAATAGTGAACTAGTTATTCCATAATATCAGATGGGGTATTCACTAATTTACCCGTTGAAGTAATCAATGACCCATTTGGTTGCACTGAACGCTGAGTTTAAATCAGTTTTGCCAACAAGTGTCCTGTCTGCTCACCGTCTTCATAGAATGATTGATTGTTTGGCAAAGAAACATCGCTTCTCAGCCTGTGAGTTGGTCAGACGCAGGAGCACCTCCTACGCTGACACCCACGCCTGCTTATTAGATTCAGTGGGGTCATCTATATACGCACACTCCATTAGTTGTGCCTGTTGGGTAACCTGAGCCTCAAACATCCTCTTTTTAGTTTTAATTGAGGAAATTTTGGACATAAATACTCCTCAGAGGAATGCTTTAAATGCTTCCCAAATAAGTAGAGGGTCAGTGTGAAGGTCATTATGTTGGAAGAAGTTATCAATCTGTTGTGTCACCGTGTCATGAGAAGGAATCAATTTCAACCAGAAGGCATTTAACTTCCACAGGACCCGAGTGAGGGTTGACCCAGGCCTAATATGTAGCTGGACCACTAAGGGTGAATGGTCAGTTATACTTCTAGGGCTATAAGTAATAATTTTGACAAGGGTAACTGCTAATTAATTGCAAACACATACGGTATTTTTCGCTTCATAAGACGCACTTTCCCCCCCCCAAAAAAAGGGGGGAAAATGTCAGTGCGTCATTTGGCTCGACCGGTCCGGTATTTCCGCCACTGCCACCGTGTCAGAATACTGGGCCGGCCGCTCAGTTCTTCTCTGCAGCAGGACCTTACCTGTTCCTCGGTCCAGCGCTGTACAGTCTTCCCACGCCAGTATCTTTAGTGTGGGCACCCGGCTGTTACAGCCGGGTGCCCACTGCGCATGCGCGAGAAGCGCTACGCTTTGTGAATGGTCCAGCATCTTCTGGGACACATGACATCTCCCAGAAGACACTGGGCCATTCACAAAGTGCAGCACTTCTTGCGCATGCGCAGTGGGCACCCGGCTGTCACAGCCGGGTGCCCACACTAAAGGGAGGACAACTCTGCGGACGTGGGAGCGGGTACCTGTCAAATTCAGGTACCCGCTCCCCCTCCCTCCCCAAAGGTCTGCAGTCTCTTGGTCATCCCCTGTACTGTCTGCAGTCTCTGGTCATCCCCTGTACTGTCTGCAGTCTCTGGTCATCTGTACTGTGTTCGCAGTCTCTGGTCATCTCCTGTACTGTGTCCACAGTCTCTGGTCATCTCCTGTACTGTGTCCGCAGTCTCTGGTCATCTCCTGTACTGTGTCTGCTGTAACGTACATGTGACATAAATGTACAGATTTTAGTAGATAGGATGTGATCAGTAGCAATATGTAATCGTAACTGTAGGGACATTCCATTGTCATTAAGGATGTATATTCTGTAGGGACATTCCATTGTCATTAAGGATGTGTATTCAGTCCTTGTCATTGAGGAAATGAGGTACAATTGGCATCAATTAGGCTGAAAATCCTGGCTTCTGGGATGTGACACTTTTTGTGTTAATAAGGTTGTCACCTTCTGGTGAAACCAGTTTTAAGGAAGTGGCCCCAGATGTATATTCTGTAGGGACATTCCATTGTCATTAAGGATATACAGTTGTGTTCAAAATAATAGCAGTGCATTGAAAAAAGTGAATAAAGCTCAAAATCGTTCTAATAGCTTTTATTTCCATACACACAAATGCATTGGGAACACTACACATTCTATTCAAAATCAAAACATGAAGAAAAATATATCAAATTTGTGTTGTTCCTCTAAAAAAATTGAAGAAAAGTGAATATTAGACTGTTCAAAAAAATAGCAGTGTTTGTATTCTTCTTTACAAACTCAAACATTCACTATATTAACTAAAAAATGTTTGAAGATTTTGCTTTCTTTAAATCACTTAATTAATATTTAGTTGTATAAGCACTGTTTCTGAAAACTGCTGCACATCTGTGTTGCATGGAGTCAACCAACTTCTGGCACCTGTGAACAGGTATTCCAGCCCAGGATGATTGGACTACATTCCACAGTTCTTCTCTATTTCTTGGTTTTGCCTCACCCCACAAGTTTTCTATTGGATTAAGATCCGGGGATTGGGCTGGCCACTCCATAACGTCAATCTTGTTGGTCTGGAACCAAGATGTTGCACATTTACTGGTGTGTTTGGGGTCGTTGTCTTGTTGGAACACCCATTTCAATGGCATTTCCTCTTCAGCATAAGGCAGCATGACCTCTTCAAGTATTCTGATGTATTAAAATTGATCCATGATCCCTGGTATGCGATAAATAGACCCAACACTGTAGTATAAGAAACATCCCCATATCATGATGCTTGCGCAACCATGCTTCACTGTCTTCACAGTGTACTGTGGCTTGAATTCAGTGTTTGGGGGTCGTCTGACAAACTGTCTCTGGCCACTAGACCCAAAAAGAACAATCTTACTTTCATCAGTCCACAAAATGTTGCGCCATTTCTCTTTAGGCCAGTCAATGTGCTTTAGCAAATTGTAACCTCTTCAGCACATGTCTTTTTTTCAACAGTAGGACTTTGCGGGGGCTTCGTGCAGATAGCTTGGCTTCACATAGGCGTCTTCTAATTGTAACAGTACTCCCAGGTAACTTTAGACCTTCTTTGATCTTCCTGGAGCTGATTGTTGGCTGAGTCCTTGCCATTTTGGCTATTCTATTATCCATTCGAATGGTAGTTTTTTTTCGCTTTCTTCCATGTCTTTCAGGTTTTGGTTGCCATTTTAAAGCATTTGCAATCATTTTAGCTGAGCAGCCTATCATTTTCTGCACTTCTTTATATGTTTTCCCCTCTCCAATCAACTTTTTAATCAAGGTACGCTGTTCTTCTGAACAATGTCTAGAACGACCCATTTTCCTCAGAATTTCAGAGAGAAATGCACTGTAACCAGCATGTACAACATTTGCTGGCTTCCTTCCTTAAATAAGGGCAATAATTGCCACCTGTTTTTCAAAGAATGAATGACCTCACTAATAGAAATCCACACTGCTATTATTTTGAACATGCCCCTTTCAATTAGTGATTAAATTACACAGAATCAGCAGCATGCATGTCATGACTGTTGGGTCTGTTGGATTTCTATTACTCTACTACACCTGCTAGTAAATTATTTGCCATGTAGAAATATAATTTCTACCAAAACAGTGATTGATCAGGTTAGTGATGTCTGACTGCTATTATTTTGAACACAACTGTATATTCAGTCCTTGTCATTGGGGAAATGAGGTACAAGTAGCATCAATTAGGCTGAAAAGCCCAGCTTTGGGGATGTGACACCTTTTGTGTTAATAAGGTTGTCACCTTCTGGTGAAACCAGTTTAAAGGAAGTGGCCCCAGACATTCCGGCTTCATCCATACATCAAAAGGGGTATGTTTAATCTCTCATAAAAGCTAAAATATTAGTTGCAGAGAGATGAACATGCTCCCTTCTTGTAGGGCATTCTGTAGGCTACATCCGAACTAAAAATTATATTTGTGGTTTAGGCAGAAGGCCAGGAAAATGCATGGTTAGGTGGCGCTGGATGGCAACAGTCGAATGGTGTTTGGTACTGTCGCGATCGGACTGATGCGCTGGTGTTGGAAATCCAATCCCCGACTTGGTTTTTCAAGCCAGTCTTGGCCCGATTGACCTTCGGCAGGTCAACACCCAGAACATCCTGTGGGCAGGTACAGGAACACCCCCCCATGGTCAACCCCCCCATGCAATCTGCAGATCACTGAACTCTGCCTCAGACATTTTAGGGTTAGTTCACCCCAGTTAGCATGCAAAATCTATTGTTTTCCCGTACTGCACAACAATGTGCTGCCTTTTGCAGAGGCACATGAGCGCCATTAATTCTTAATGACACCTCCATGCAGCTAGCAAAAAAAAATCATGCTAGCACTTTTTTGCATGTTTTCCATTAAAAAAATGTGACTTTCAGGAATGTGCAACAAAGCACGCGTGCTTGGATGCACCTCCCAGTGTGAATGAGCCCTCACACTGGCATGCCCTGGGATTGTGCACAATTCTAAAGGGTGCCCTGGCTGAAAAAAGGTTGAAACACACTGCTTTACAAAACAGGCGATACAAAGGTTTCTTGATGGTTTAATACCCCAGTTGAAAGAAAAGTTGTTTATGGCAAGACCTGATGAAGGTAATATGTCTTTTCAAGGCCTCCTGTCTATATTGTTATCCATAGAAAACAGGGTTAACCAAAAAGAGTCATCCCAAAAATATGTACCTGGGGAAGCGGAGGGGAAAAGTCAGAGGCAATTTCAGGAATCATAGCAGCCACAATACTGTCATCTTCATGACCGCAGCCTGCAATAGAGCTCAGAGGTACCTCATGCTGATCAAACATCTCTGCCAAATGCATGGGATCAGGCCTAGGAAAATGGCAAGCCAGCATCAATTATACTAAATAAGGGAGAAAATTGTCCTGAGGTCAGAGTCAAAGTATTGTTACAAAAATTCCCCTTTCCTGGAGGAGAAACAGAATTAACCTGTTTAATAGACATTGGCACAAGCCAATCAGCTTTCAATATAGAGGATTTACCTCCAAGATTGTTATTTGAAAATGTCATTTGTGGCGTTGGCCTAACCAGGACCTCTACTGATTTGGTTGTGACCACTTAAACTCACACTCGGACAGCAAATGGAATATGTCACTATAGCGTTAGCTTCAGACACAGCTCCTACTAATCTCTTAGGAGCTGACATTATGAGCCAAATTTCTAGCAAACATAGATTACACTCCTACATGAGTCCAAGTTCTCATCAGTCTGTAGTAAGAAGTTTTAAATTCTGCCTGTGGGGTATTTTTAATCCAAGACTCTGCCTCTTCCTCCAGAATTGGGAATGATTTCCACTGATATATGGGTGAATATGATGTAGTTCTGCTGGTTTGCACACCCAGTGATAATAAAATTCAAACCAAGAGCCTATCTCCCACAGATTAGAGAGTATCTACTGAGCATTGCCCAGATTGAGGGCATAAATTATCACTCCTTGCCTGTTTACACACATGCAGATTCGAACCGCTGAACTACTGTGTCAATTAACTGTGAAACCTAAGCTTCAGTTCCACCGCACATGTGTAAATCCACACTAAAGTAAAGCAGCAACGGCTGTGCCATTTACGTCACAAGCCAATACATACCTGTTCCCAATCGCAAAGAAACCAGATTAAAGCCGTGGGACCTACCAGTAACATACCGCATGGTACATGATTTAAGAGCCATTAACAATATAATTGAGGCAGACACCTCTATAGTGCCCAACCTCCACACTTTACTAAGTGGAATACCTGCCTCCAGCACCTGGTTTATAGGGATTGATTTTGTGAATGCTTTTTTCACCCTTAACCCAGATTGCTGGCACTTTTTTTTGCATTCATATTCGAGGGTAAACAGTCAATATAGACAAGGTAAACCCAGGGGTACGTAAGCAGCCCTTCCAAATATATTACTGCATTAAAGCACGTGTTGGTCAGCTGGTCACTTTCACACCCAAGCACAGTTTTGTACACAGACAACTTGCTTGTTTTCTCTGAATCAGAGGACATACTGTATGTAGCAAGGAAAACCGTAAGCCTTCTCATGTTTCTGTACAACAGTAACCGCAAATTTTGTATACTTAAGATACAATACTGCTAAGAAAAAGTGATCTTCCTGGGTCACTGCATTTCACATGGAATCTATCATCTAACCCCAGATCGAGTTAAAACTGCAAAAATGAGAAAAGCCAAAAAATGTACAGCAATTACATGCCTTCCTGGGGTAGTAGGATATTACAGGGACTGGACACCAAATACATCAGAACCGATGGCTCTTCATCATGAGGCCACCACAACAAACCCTTTCAAACTAACATAGGACAATGAATTGCAGATGAAGGAGCTTTTTATAATTCTATCAGAAGCTCCAGCTTTCTGACTATACTAAGCCGTTTTTTATGAAGTCAAAAAATATAGTGCTGGTATACTCATCCAGCTGCATGGAGACAGAGGCCTGTGATCTGTGATGTACGTTTCAACCTCATTAGACCCTGAGATCAAAGGCTCCCCTGGTTGTGTGCATGCTATAGCAGCCTGCACTTTGTTGCTAGACCAAGTTACTGAGCTTGTGCTAGTCTCTGCTCTAACACTGTAAGTGCCACATGCAGTACAGGAAATCAAGTAAATACAAGACTTGTGTCTGCTAGTAGACTTGACAAGTATCAGTCTGCTATTTCTGCTCATCCAAATTTGCCAATCAAACAATGT